CAAAAACAACACTGCACATCACCAAAAGAACACCATACCCACAGTGAAGCATGGTGGTGGCAGCATCATGCTTTGGGGTTAGTCAAGATGGAGGGAATTATGAACAGTTCCACATACCAGTCAATACTGGCACAAAACCTTCAGGCTTCTGCTAGAAAGCTGAAGATGAAGAGGAACTTCATCTTTCAGCACGACAATGACCCAAAGCATACATCCAAATCAACAAAGGAATGGCTTAACCAGAACAAGATAAAAGTCTTAGAATGGCCCAGCCAGAGCCCGGACTTGAATCCGATTGAACATCTGTGGGGTGATCTGAAGAGGGCTGTGCATAGGAGATGCCCTCACAATTTGATAGATTTGGAGCGTTTTTGCAAAGAAGAGTGGGCAAATATTGCAGAGTCAAGATGTGCATTGCTGATAAACTCATACCCAAAAAGACTGAGTGCTGTAATATAATGAAAGGGTGCTTCAACACAATATTAGTTTAAGGGTGTGCACACTAATGCAACCACATTATTTTAGTTTTTTATTTTTACTTCCCACTGAAAAACAGATTTCAGTTTATTTTCAATTGAGCTGTACAAGTTATAGGTCACATTAAAGGTGGCTAAAGTTCTGGAATTATTTATCTTGGTCTCGTTTTTTTACATCACAGAAACCTGGCATTTTAACAGGGGTGTGTAGACTTTTTATATCCACTGTAGCTCATTCAGACAACTCTGTATGCTCATGCTGACTTGTCTCCTTGCTGCAAGTAAAAGAATACTGCTTAATGAGTTCCAGTGACTTCATTGCTTTATTTAAAATTACTACCAATAAGCAGTAAAAAGTGTTAAAAATATTACCTGCTCTAGTCTCAGTCCACACTACATTTTTAAATATAAGATTAAAAAAATATTAATCTCGTACCTTTGGATTTTCATTGGGCCAAGCAGCTCCAGAAAGCCTTACAACTCTCTCTGCTTTCTCAGTTTCGATAGCCTCCAGGACCGAGGGGCTTCTGCCAACAGCTGTGGCCAGGATGTACAAAGACCGAGCCTCGAGTATCTTCTGCTGTCTGAATACTTTAGCCGTGGCACTCTGACAGTCAGCCTGAAGGTCCTCTGCAGAGCAAAAAGTTTACTGTACATGAAACACATCAACAGCTGTGATCCCAGCCCAAGTCACATTTAGCCCCATGTGAACATTACTGCAACTTGCACAGTCACAGCTGAAAATTCTTTTCAATCTATTTCCTAATTTGTGCTCCTAATCCAAACATGGTTTACAGAAAATCTGGATGTGTGGGTATACATTAAATTAGACCTAAAACATTTTGGCTGCAAGTGAGTGTGGAAAATCCTTAAAGCAATGTGCAGTGGTGTCATCTGTATAAAAACAACAATAATTGTATGGATGCTGAATCAGCATCCATACAAGCCACCCTTTTCCAACTGAGAACCATGGCCTCGGACTTCGAGGTGCGGA